AGGGGCGTGGCCTACATGCGCGCCGCGAAGCTCGCTGGGACTCCGAGTCCGGCTCCGGAGAGGCTCGGACTGCTCCTCCCGGCAGGCCGCGCAGCAGGGCGGGACGGGGCACGAGGGCCCTCCCTGCGTCTCCTTCGCGGCTCTTCTGGGTCCGCCGTCGCCTGCGGGGCGTAGCCTCCAATGTGACGGCAGCCGCGAAGCCTCGGCCAGAGGCCCAGCCCTATCCGAGCCGGCCAGAACGGCCCGGCACCCCTCCCGCCTTGCCTTCACGCGCCCCGGATGCCCCCGCTGTTGTAGCCAGCTCGCGAACCCCCTGTCCACACTAGGATCCTGCCCTGGGATCACACGTAGGCAACAGCACGCCAAACCTTGGAGAAGCCGCCGGGCACGGCCCGTTCCTTGGGCTAGTTGTTTCGCCCCTGCTGCCTCAGTTTCCTTATCTGTAAAGAGGTGATACTTGGCTCTCTCTAGTCACACAGTTGTGGGACTCACCTGGGCTATCGCGCAGGACACACCCTGAACAGTTCCTGTTGCCGGGAACCCTCATGTCACTGGCGAATGCGACCTCCCCGCCGGGAACAGCCCATGCCACTTGCACAGTGTCCACCAGCCCAGGCTCCAGGAGGGAAAGGCTGGACGTGACGTAGAGCCCAAGGCTACCTCGTGCACCCCTCTTCTCGTGGAAGACCAGATCAGTGTCCTCCGCGTGCACTCCCCTACTGCACTCAGAGATCACCACCTGTCCAGTGAGGAAGGTTTGTCTCTCCTCCACTCTGTCTACCTACAGATCCTCAGTGTCCATGATGGCTAATCACAGATGACCATTCCAACCTCCCCACCCTCTTCGCCACTCAGGCCTCAATTTACACTGCCCGAAGTCCTTCTGTAAGAAGCTAAGCCTCCCTTGTCATGCATCTAGGACAACCCCCTGCACTCCATTTTTCATTGCCCCCGATACTTTAGATACTGACTTGCTTCATTTGTGGTCTGTCTACCCATGAGAAAATGTGCTTCCCAATAGCAAGGCTGTGCCCAGGACCATGCCAGCACTTGGGTGGCACTTAATATCTATTAACAAATGTATATGCGTTTAATATATGTATTTCATATATTAATAAATGTATATGTAAGTATATATAAATAGATGTATAATATAAATAAATGCAATATATACTTAAATCCATATAAATATATGTAATTAAATGCATATAAGTAATATATAAATAAATGCCTGCTGCATCTCTGGCCTTCGTGTGGTCAGTAATCCCTGCACTTTTCAGAAGTGCCTAGAAGGATTCTACAGCCTTTATCTGTGCGTGGCAAATTTGCTCTTGGCTATTGTATTGATGAGCTGCCCTCTTGACTTGAACTTCACCACATCTTTTATTGCACTAGATCTTCCAGACCTCTCATCCTGTTTCTCATATTTTCCATTTCAATTATTCTATACTATTCTGTTCTATACTTCTATTATTCAATCTTAGTTTTCAACTTTTATGTAAGATTTTTCTTTTTAGCAATTCTATGTTAAATTTTCAATAAATTTTAGTTTTCCTCTGGTTGTTCAGTTTCTTCCTTAGGAATATGGAGAGAATAGTACTTTCCTTGCGGATTGTGAAAATGGCAAATTATGTGGAGAGCTTGGCCCCTGGTAGGCGCTCAGAAAGTTGCTGTTTTTATTATTGGCATGGCTGACCTTGTGTGGGAGGAGGGAGCATCTACCATCAAACCCTGACTCTGGGCTGCCCTGGGCAGGTAATCCTCACATCCAGTCACTTAGTGACTGCACCAGCCCCTTGAGGCAGGCAGGAGTAATTGGCTGTACTGATAGAGAAACTGAGGTTTAGGGAGGTAGAGTCAGAAAATGGCAAAACCAGGCTGGGTGCAGTGGCTCACACCTGTAATCCTAGGACTCTGGGAGGCCGAAGCAAGAGGATTGCTTGAGCCCAGAATTTCAAGACTAGCCTAGGCAACATAGCAAGACCTCCTCTCTAAAAAAATATCAGAAAATTAGCCAGGGGTGGTGGCATGAGCCTGTAGTCCCAGTTACTTGGGAGGCTGAGGCAGAAGGATCGCCTGAGCCCAGGAAGTCGAGACTGCAGTGAGTCGTGATTAGACCACTGCACTCCAGCCTGTGCGACAGAGTGAGACTCTGACTTTAAAAAAATAATAAAAGCTAGAAAAATAAAATTGCAAAGCCAGGATTGAAGCCAGTCTCCCTGATCGCTGTTTATGCTGTGCTGCAAGGGATCCAGGTAGGAGTTGAGAGAAGCTGGAGTTGGACTTTGCATCAAACTGGAATAGGTGTGAGCCAGCAGAGCCACAGAGCACTGCAGATCATGTGAGCCACCCTCTTTTTTGACTAGTGAGGAAACCCTAGAAAGAGGACAACAGCGCCATCTGGATTAGAACCAGATTCCACTTCTAAAATAATAGATTGAGCACTTGAGCTTATTCCCCTATTCCTACTGAGGACCTGATAATTTGTCAAAAGTGGGTGAAGTAGGGCGTCAACCCTGAGGACATGGAGAGAAAGGAGTGAACTCCTAGCAGGTAAGAGAGTGTCATAGCCGGGCTCGGTGGCTCAGCCTGTAATCCCAGCACTTTGGGAGGCCAAGGTGAGTGGATTGCCTGAGCCTGCGGGTTCGAGACCCACCTGGGCAACTTGGCGAGACCTCGTCTATACCATAAATCAAAAATTAGCCAGGCATAGTAACGTGTGCCTGTAGTTTCGGCTACTTGGAAGGCTGAGGCGGAAGGATCATCAAAGCCCAGCAGGTCAAGGCTGCGGTGGCCAGGAGCATGCCACTGCACTCCAGTCTGGGTGACAGAGTGAGACTCCAACTCAAAAAAAAAAAAAAAAGTGAGTGTCATAAATGTCCAGAGGCCAAGATTGGTGACAATGAAGCAGAGGGATGAAGCTTCACCTTGAGTTTCCTCCATAGAGTACAGTACCCTAGAAAAATGGGGAAAGGGATGGTTGGGGGGAGACAGAGGTAAGTATGTGTGTGAATCAGCAGATGCCCGCTCATCCCTCCATCCCCTCAAACACACACAGATCACACAGCAGCCAGGGACCCCAGTCCCAGCACAAATAATGGAAGGTCACTTCTAGAGATATTAAATGTTCCAGAAAAAGACCCTTCTGTAGGGTGGGATTTAGATGGCCTGGCAAGGAGCTTCCTAGTCAGTCTTTCTGCAGCAAAGCCCAGCACTTCACAAGTCCCACTCTTGAATACAAGCTTCCTATCACCTCGTTCTTAGATTTAAACAGACTGCTAAGGATCATTGGGTATTTGGGAAGACTTCCAACATGACCAAAAAAATCAACGTAAATTAGATCTGAGAAGAAACAGGAAATACAGAGGATTCCAGAATCGCCTTAGAACACTCCTAAAACAATCATAGAATGTTTTAAGAAACAGCCCAAGAAAATATTTTCAGGAGACAAAATTATGATAGGTCAAAATTATTTTAACTTAAGTGAGATCTTGGAATGTTTACTTTTTTTTAAGTCAGGATCCCACTCTGTCACCCTGTCACCCAGGCTGGAATGCAGTGGCACAATCACTGCTCACCACAACCTTGACCTCCTGAGAAGTTGGGACTCCAGGCACATAACCACCATACCAGTCTAATTTCTTTATTTATTTTTGTAGAAACAAGGTTTTGCTATGTCGCCCAGGCTGGTCTTGAACTCCTGGGCTCAAGCAATCTTCTTGCCTCAGCCTCCAAAGTGATGAGATTACAGACATGAGCCACTGTACCCGACTGAATGTTAACTTTTGAAGAAATTAGTCTAAGAAATCTGCCCAGAGCCGCACGCGCAGGAGAGGTACAGAAGGAGATGTGGAGCCAGCCCTGAGCTCTCTGGCTCCCCCAATGTCAGGCACATGGGTGGAAATGGAAATCTAGCCCAGGAAAGTCTTCAGACAGCTCCAACCCAGCTACTCTGACTGCAACTCTATGAGAACTCTTGCAGCTAGACCCAGTCAACCCACAGAACCAGGGATGATGACAACAAGTTGTTTTGAGAAAAATCAAGTTTAGTTGGAAGATAAAGTTGAGGAATTCACTCAGGAAATAAGCAAGAAAAGATTAGAAGCTTAGAAATTCAAGTGCAATATCAAACCAATGGGAATTCCAGAGGAGAAAAAACTACCAAAGAAATCTTACAATTCCCAGAGTTGAAGGATTTTGGTCTCTGGGTAAAGGAATACATTGAGCTCCCCACAGGATGAACAGCAAAGGATCCACACCCAGCCATAACACTAGGAAATACCAGGAGAGCAAGGATCAATGGGAGATCCTAAAAGTTTCCAGAGAAGAAAATACAAAAATTTCCTCAAGGGATGAAGACTCAGAGGGCATCACTTCTCATCAGCAACACAGGATGCTAGAAGATAGGGGAGAAATGCATCCAAGGTTGAGAGGTGAAATGACTGTCAACACAGAATTGGTTACCAAGTACAAGGATCAAGTGAAGACATTTTCAGATCTGCAAAAGGTTTACAAGCAGATGTAGCAGCTGCATAACAACTCCAAAACTCAGTGGCTAAAAACAGCAAAAATTTATTTTGCTCATGAATCTGCAATTTAGACAGATCTTGTTGTGGCAGCTCATTTCTGCTCCACATGGTGCCAGCTGGGGCTGTCTGACTGTGACTGAAGGATCCACGTTGAAGATGACTTGCTTATATGGCTATCAAGTCCATGCTGGCTGAAGGCTGCAGGCCCATTTAGGTCTGTGAGCCAGAGGCCTCAATCCCTCCTCACAGCTACCTGAGTTTCCTCACAGAATGATGGGGCTGGAGGGGCAATTAGGAGTTTATATTAGTCTGCTTAGGCTGCTATAACAAAATATCAGACTGAGTGACTTTTCTGACAGTTCTGGAGGCTGGGAAATCCAAGATTAAGAAGCCAGTTGATT